TCTCCCTCCAAGCAATAGCTGCCTCCCTGTCCTCCACACCAGAACCGCTTAACGGTAACTACATTGAACCTTATGGGGAAATTTGCTTCAGGGTGTGACCAATTCGGGTTGCGGCCAGAGTCACGGAACGAATTAAGTTCATAAACCGAGGTTCCACTGTATTGTGTAATTAACTCATAATTGTATCTTTAACTCGAATCATTGTGTATTTAACTCAAACTTTGCTACAGTAGGGTCCATTCTTAACTATGGGTTGTTCTTAAGCTGGGCATTCTTAACCTGGGGACTACCTGTACAGTACAATGTCAACATCCAAGATACCTTAGAAGGTATTTCCTATTTACAAGAATCTCTAATATTAGAAAATGAAGCTAGATCAGCACTTTGGTCATTACTGAGTCAGAAAGCTACAGATCTTAATGGAATATCTATAGAAATATGGCAAGTATAGAAGAAGAATCTATAATGTTTCTAACCAAACTATGTCAGCAAATCTGAAGAGCCACACAAAAGAGACTTAACATTCTGTGCAAACTATTGTACAATATCCTTAATTTCACATACTAGTAAAATAATACTTAAGATATACAGATTAGAGTCCTACATGCAAAGGGAAAGGCCAGATGTTCAAGCTGGCTTTAGAAAAGTCTGCAGAACAAAATATATTATTGCTGATGCCAAAGAATACCAAAAAGGAGTCAATATATGCTCCATTAATTATAGAAAGGCGTCTGATTGTGTCAACTATGTCAAACTGTGGAATGTGCTTAGGAAAATGGAAATCCCAAAACATCTCATTATCCTCATTCAAAATGTATACACACTTTAGGAAGCCACAGTTTGGATGGAATGTGGTGAAACACACTGGTTGCAAATCAACAAAGGAACAAGGCAAGGCTGTATATTTATTTATTCAACTTATATAATAAATATATATTGAGGGAAGTTAGATTGGAAGAAGTTGAGCATGGTTTTAAAACTGAAGGAAGAAAGATCAATGACCTGTGCTATGCTGATGACACTATTCTGATAGCTGAAAATACAAATTATCTGGAACCTCTAGTCTTGAAAGACAAGGAGCACAGTAAAAATATAGGACTAAAATTTGTCCCAACTAATGACAACAGGTACAGCAACCAGCCTTAGAACTGACAGTGAAGATATTGAAGTGATATGCTCGTCTATGACCATAACAAAGATTTGATTTGATTTGATATTGAAGTGAGGGATAACTTCAGCCTTTTAGGATCAACTATCAACAGTAATGGAACCAGCAATCAAGAAATGCACTGCAGACTAGCATTTGGTAGAGTAGTTATAAAGGCCTTGGAAAAGATATTTGATGCTTAAAAATTAGAATTAGAATTGTGCAGGCAATGGTTTTCCTTGTGATTCTCTATGGAAGCTAAAGTTGGACTTGAAGAAGCCATTTGGTCTAGTGGTTAAGGCACCAGACTAGAAACCAGGAGACTGTGAGTTCTAGTCCTACCTTAGGCATGAAAACTGGCTGGGTGACTTTTGGCCAGTCACTCTCTCTCAGCCCAACTCATTTCACAGGGTTGTTGTGGGGAAAACAGGAGGAGGAAGGAGTATTAGGTATGTTTGCTGCCTTGAGTTATTTATAAAAAACAATAAAGATGGGACAAAAATTTTTTTAAAAAAGGGTAGAAAGAGTATTGATCCTTTTATACTTTCACAGTGAGAATACCATGGGAAAACAGGAGGAGGAAGGAGTATTAGGTATGTTTGCTGCCTTGAGTTATTTATAAAAAACAATAAAGATGGGACAAAAATTTTTTTAAAAAAGGGTAGAAAGAGTATTGATCCTTTTATACTTTCACAGTGAGAATACCATGGATAGACAAGAAAACAAAAAAATGGATCACTGAACAAATTAATCCAGAGGTCTCATTTGAGGCATAAATGATTAGGCTCAGATTATCATATTTTTGGACACATTATTTAAATACCTAGCTATCCGGAGGTGTCTATAATGTTGGAAAAAGTGGAAAGAAAGAAAAAAAAAGAGGACAACCAAGAGCAAGGTGGACAGATTCAATTACAGTGGCAAAGGGTGCACTGATGGAAGACCTGAAGAGCCAGATTGTGGACAGATCATCTTGGAGAAAATCTATATGGTTGCTAAGAGTCAACACTGACTTGATGGCACACAATCAAGAAAACCTGATAGGTCCACGTCATCTGGTTTTACTTGGAATAGAAGTTTAAAGTGAAGACTAGCTCTTTGCCTTTTGTTGTTTTTAGTATATTTTGCCTAAATTTATTTTGGTAACCATATACCAAAATACTGCAGAAATTCACAAATATTTTATTTTTGTAAGTATGACTCTAATTCTGATTATTTATAATTTAATTAGCACTTACTAATTATCTTGGTTTTGATTTTAGATGCAAAAGAGGTATTCAGCTTTGTAACTTTTAGAGCTCCATTTTTCTTCTTCATTACACGTCTTTTAATACCTCCAATGGTAAAAAGGGAAGATACTTCAGACATTACATCAATTTCCAGCTTTGGTTTATTACATCGAAGAAGATCTAACAGTGGATATCACAAAAAAAAATAAAAATTAATGTTTGCATTTAAAAATATTTTTAAGTATGTAGTGTGTGTGAGTTTCTATCACTATTATTCAGCCTGAATATATTCATGTTTCAAAATATAATGATAATCACACCCCTAAGAACATCTTAACAATTCAGTCCATTCATCAAATTTAAATGTATACTGTACTAAAAAAATACTGTCAATTCCTCAACAAAATTGCACATATTTTCTACTTTTAAAAAGATTAATCATATTCAAATCCCTCTATAACTCAGGGCAGCAGTTCATATAAATTATCCATTTTATTTACATAACAGTCCTGTGTCCTTTCCTCAGTTAAAGTTTAGCTTCAGTACACTCTGGCAAACTAGTGTTCTCTCTTGATCACATGTCATTGGCATTACTTTGTTTCTAGTCCAAAATTTACATTATTTTATGCCAGTTCATCAAAACAAGTAGCTTTTCTTGCTTAAGCTAACAAGATCCCAAGACACTGTCCAAACACATTCTACAAGGTGGAAAACGTAGCACTCCACCCTTTAGGTCACTAGCCAGTGGGTTATACCAGCCACGTTATTGACTAGACTTTGACCAATTTTTTTTTTTACCTGAAAATATGGATACTCAATCCCTAAGAATAACTGGATTTGGACAGAAAGATATTATGGACATAGTTCTGGAACCACACAACCTAAGCTTACAGTGGCAATTTATTTTACCAGAGTTTAGAACACTAGTAAAGAAAAGTCTTCAAATTCATGTACCATTCTAAGTCATAATGTAGTTTGTTTGATTTTGGCTAAGCATGTTGTATGAATACCCACTGTGGTTTAAAACCATTATTTATGTATTGTATGAATTCAGCTAAATGTGATTTAGTCAATAAACCATGGTTAACAAATCACATGCATGATGTTCAAACTCAATTTATGAGAAAAAGTACACTTAAAGTCGAATTAGAGCAAATGTTGTGATCATGGAATCTTGATTTCTTTTAAAAGCTTCTAATAGGATTGAGACCATTGCATTTAAATAAAGGATTTTAATTCACCCATGCACCTTCTTCTCAACTGAATTCTTCCCTTATTATTTGCCCTACTAGGGAAATATGCTGTCTAATACCTGTAATCTTTTAATTCCATGCTTTTCATAAGAAATGTTGCTACCAAGTTGGCTGTTTTTAGCCACACCTTTCTGGATATATATAATCTGACACTTTACTCAAGTTGCAAAACAATGTAGACATAGGACATTTTGACACAAGTAATTTATAATGCAACGTATCCATTGCTTTGACAATAAAAGCCTGCCTGCATTAATAAAATATCTCCATAGTGACTGCTGGATGACTCTGTAGGTCTTTTTCCAGGAGCACCTATCCAGGATACAAATATACCTAGCCAACCTTTTGTTTTTTCTACTCTTGTCTCCATTACATGGCCTTCATCTCATTCTCAGTCCTGAGACAGATTTGTTCTCAGTTGTATCAGTGTTAAAAATAATATTTTCCCCTCTATTGTAATACCTTCAAGGGCAGCCTCATATCTGTTAGGCTTTCTCAGTGGAAGGAATTCAGGCAGGTTTTTCTGCCAGTTTGCTTGAAAGATTCTTCCTTGGAAAATATTATAGAAGTTTCTGTAAATTAAATCCCAGTATGACTCTTACTGAATATGCATAATTCTATATAAATATGGAGGATGGCTCTGCTGCTGCAAAGAGAAGATTTGGGATGGAACAGAAGCTGGAAAGCATCCCTGCCAAATCTGTACCTCTCTTGCTGTCACCAGCAGCCACAATCCCTCAAACACGCAGCATGGAAAATGATGTCACTACGGCAATGAATACTTTCAGCCTCCTCACTTCTTGCTGCAGAAGCCAAGCAACTCAGCCCCAATGTTGGGTTGACCTTGGCTCCTTACTGGAGAATCTGGGCAAGAGAAGAGAGATTTGTAAAGCAAACCAAAGCTTGTAGATTTACTGAAAGGAAGATTTGGCACAAGAAGATACTATTTCTTCAGGGCACCCCAGAGACATTGTCTGCATTAACAAGGGGTGATAATCCCTCAAATTAAATCAGTTTACATGAACTCTCTCCCCCGGTACTCCAGCACACCCTTGAATTCAGTTAACTGGCAGTGACTTGAAGTAACAGAGGCAGGGACTAGCAATGGGAACAGAAAAAATCATGCTGGTACATATTTCTGTTGACAGAAGGATGGAAAAATAGCACCAATTCAACTGGAGAAAGGCCCTTAAGGACACTATAAATTCCTAAAATGGAAATGGCCATAGATGAAAAAGTTTGAGAAATAAAGTTTGGGATTCAGCCAACTAGAATCAAAACTCAGTAGCTATAAATAATTCTAACCACAGCAAAAAAGGAGGAGAGCCATAAGATATCATAATTTCTCACCCGGGACACTTCAATGAATTATGCTTGCTTTTTTTGAAACTCATAACCCCACACTCTGCAATTTAAGAGAAAGGACCTCCTTCACGTTCTTTCTTTTCTATGCAGCACCTTTTCTTCCCGCCAAAACGGAAATCGCGAGACCTGATTGGATGGCGCTCAACGCTAGAGCCGTTAAACTGCGACCTCGCAACGGCGCGAGCTTTGCTGTACCTTGGAAAGGCGCTGGACTTCAGCGCCTAAACGCTACGAGCCGGGCCGGCGTGCCTGGAGTGTAGAGTCGCGCGACGGGAAAGGCATCGCGCGACTCTGCGGGAGCGAAACGAAGCTTCGACTAGCTTAGTAGCCCGGTGGTCAGAAGGTACAGTGGAAGATCGAGCGGTGGGCTGCTGAGGCTACAGGGAAGAGAAGCTCGCTCGGCTAGTGTCTTCAGGACTGGGAGCCCTTTGGCTTCCTAGCCGGGCTCTATTCAGGCCTTTTCGTCCTCCTCCCTTCTCCAGTCAATTAGTTGCTGTGATGGACTGGAATGGGGGAAGGGGGGGGAAAACGGTGC